CACAATGGAAAAACCATCACAACACACAAACAACATCAAAAAATTCAAGAACAAATCCACATACACACGCAAGAAGAAGGAGTCAATTCATAAAATACAAAAGTATAAAACATACTAAAAAAGAATTCACCAGCTTACATATACACATAGTAGTATCACATACCTAAAAAATACGCATCTGCAGCAAGAGAATCATCATCCAAGCATGCACATATCAGAATCGAGAAATTCACGGCAAGTCACACGATTCAGAGCAACAGAGCAACATATGGCAAAAGAGAGAAAGTGTACCAAACCTTTCAAAGGCACTCACACCACTGCACCGAAATCAATCGTCGTCGCCGGAATTGACCTTAAGCCACCGAGAATCCCTCTACTCGTCTATTGGAGCTGCCGCGCTAGCGATACCCCCGCAGACGTCTGCCTCCGTTGTGAAATCGTCGCTTTTAGGTATTTCTCTCGGTTCCCTTTTCATGGCTCATGGTGTTTTGCTGGATCTTTGGTGTTGTATGATGATAGAATTTTAGAATTGATGGGTTTTTTAACATGGAAAATTTGAGAGTGTTGTTATGTAGAGAAAGAGTGAAGACAAGAAAGAAGAAAGAAGGCAAGGTGTGGGAGAGGAATAGTGAGTGCAGGGAAAAAGAAAAGGAGCAGACTGAGAGAGAAAAAGGAGTTTAAGAATTGGTTTTTTCATTCTCCCTTTCTAACCTATGTTGCGTTGTTGATGAGATCGAGTGGGTTCATGTACCCATCCCATTGTTTTTTTATTTTCATTCGTGGGTTTTCTTGGGTCTACACCATTGACCCATATAGTTTTTTTTAGGAGGTGGACTTTAGGAAGAACCCAATATTTCACAAAAAAAACCAACACTTGTTTCTTTTCACATTTTAGTTTTTAATTTTTTTTTAGTTTCTAAAAACAAAAGATTAATATGAGCTTTTGACATAATTACCTTTTGTTAATTAAACCTTTTATTTCGAGTAATTAAATTTCTGAGTGATTAATTAAAATTTTTAAGGTTTCAACTAGTTAATTGAAATTCTAATTAATTATATTTCTAATTAATTATATTTAAAATCTTAAATAATTTTGAGGTTAACCTTGACCAATCATTGGCAATCTCTTGTGATGTGTTGTTGACTACTAACTGAGCTCGATGATTGTTTTTAATGCTTTAAATTCGTATACTCCTCTTAGGTTTCTTGATTCAATCTTATCTTCAATAATTCAGATCAGGTTATACTTTAGGTTTTATTCCTTTTCCTGATAACATTAAGATAGCTTTATCTTTTCATCCTAGCCTTAGGATTGGAGTCGCCGTACTCTATGTAAGTTTCTTCCATGGACACTTACTTTCTCTTTATCTTAGCCTTAGGATTAGAGTCGCCGTACTCTATTTAGGTGTTCTGCCATGGACACTTATTTTCCCTTTTAACCTAGCCTTAGGTTTAGAGTTTCTTAACTCTATGTAGGTGTTATGCCATAAACATTTACCTCCCTTTTAACCTAGCCTTAGGTTTAGAATCTCTGCATTCTATGTAAGTATCTTGCCATAGACACTTACTCCCCTTGGAACCTTGACCACAATCAAGAGTTCCTCACCCTTATTGAGGGGAACTACGAATGCTCTGATTCCATTTCCATCAAGATACGTAGGCACGAGATGTGATGTCTTGGCAAGCATACTTATAAATAACACCTTAGGTCCCCCTTTACCTTTCCACCTTTAGAAGACAAGATAACAAATAACACAATAAGAACAAGAGGTTCCTGTAGAGTACTACATATACTTAGGATGCTAACACCTTCCCTAGATATAACCAACCCTCGAACCTTAGATCTTTTGCATTGCATTGCATTTCATATTTTGGGTTATTCGTTATTTTTCCCTTCCCTTGGATAAATTAAAGATTGATGGTGAACTTCATGATTTGTGATTCAAGTTAATTAATAGCTTGATATCTGATTCTCACCGCAACAACATCACTTCATAGTAATAGTTGTTCCTGTTTGTCATGAATGTCGTCTTGGATGCATCCACCAGGTTCATGCGTATCTGATTGTACCCAGAGTACGTATCCAAAAAACTGAGAAGCCCGAAGCTCTGTCTATAAGTCGGTCTATCTTAAGGAGTGGGTGTAAATCTTTCAAACATGCTTTGTTTAGATCAGTAAAATCCACACACATTCGCCACTTTCTTGACTTCTTTTTCACCATGACTATGTTGGCTATAACCACGTTAGGTACTTGATTTCTTTGACGAAACCTACCTTCAAAAGCTTTCCAACTTCTTCCTCGACAACCTTCCTCTTTTCTTCTCCTTTCTTCCTTTTCCCCCGCTCCACCGGTTTGACGGAAGGATCTATCGCTAAATGGTGACATACTATATTGGGGTCAATTCCGAGCATATTCGCTAGTTTCCAAGCGAATAGGTAACGTTCTCTCTTAATATCTCGATGATTTTAGCTTCTTCATTGAGAGATAATCCCGCCCCGATTTGGGTTGTTTGGGATGGATGAGCTCCGATTTGTACAGTTTTTACCTCTTTCATTGGTGAAAGACTACCCTCTATTGGGTCCTCCCTCGGATCTATATCCATTACGTTCACCTTTGCTTACCTATCTTTCGCCGATCCCTCGACATGATTTCTTTTCTTGGGTCTCAGGCTATCTTCATAACATCTCGCTGCTTCTTGATCTCCTTTTATGATTCCTTTCTGACTGTTCTCCAATGGATATTTTAGGGTGAGATATATACTACAAAAAAAATGATGTTTTGTGACATATAAGTTGCGACGGTTCTATTAAAATCGTCGTCCTTCGTATATTGTGACAGTTGTCACAACGGTTTTGTCCAACCGCCTCTTGATTTTTAAAAAATATAATGAGAACTTGCGGCAGTTGGATGACCAACCGTTCTAAAAACTTGTTTGCGACACTTAAAAAACCGTCACATTTTGTATTTTAGATTACGTCGATTGTAACAACCACCTTAATTAATTATATAATAAAGGTTTTCAAAATTATATTCTTTAATAGTCAAGCGGTAAGCGATAAAGTAAATTTTCTTAAGTATTTTAACTTGGATTTGATTTCCACTTCCATTGTTTTTGAGAAACAAAAGAATAAATTTACAAAATTATGAACCTTATCAGATTCAAACTTGAGACCCTTTCCTAAAATATATAACCCTTTTCACTGGGCTAATTAAAAACTACAATCTTATTCTGCAGTGTGTATATATATATATATATATATATATATATATATATATATATATATATATATATATATATATATATATATATATATATATATATATATATATATATATATATATATATATATATATATATATATATATATATATATATATATATATATATATATATATATATATATATATATATATATATATATATATATATATATATATATATATATATATATATATATATCAAATGAGAGGAGTAATTAATGTGAGAGATGAGAGGAGTTAATTTAAACCATTGGATCTAAATCAATGTTTCAAATTCAATTAAATAATAGTGATTAATTTTCACCTTTAGTACGTGAGATTTTTCATTAATTAGGAAAACACAATTGATATTAATTCTCTCACTTTCCTAGCTGACTTTCTTTCTTCCCTTTAGAGTTTTTATTAATTAAGAAAATACAATTAACGTTAACTCATATTAATGTTTCCTCTAAGAAAATACATTACCTTCTTCCTCATTTCTTGTTTCTGAAAACCACTTACATATCATCTTCTTCCTCTTCTATTGTTCAATGTTTCCTACTTTTTATTGCTATGGACAAAGTGATATCAATTGGCACTCAACTATGCAAGGTAACATCTTTTAGCTTGAAATCAATTTTTCTTTAATATTTTCATTAACCAAAACAAAGTGCAGACAAGAAGAAATAATATACCAAATACGTATAAACATATTTAACATATTTATCTTTCCCTTATGCTTTAATTTATTTAATATTTTTAGTATCCCTCATACTTAGGAAAATGATTTAATTTCTTTTTAGGTAATAAGATCGGAGATTATAAATTAATTTAAATATATTTGATATCATTGTATTATTTTGTGATTTTTAGGAAAATGAATAGGTGCCAAATTGTGATGAGTTAAAGCCTAAGATTGGACAAGTATTTGATACATTAGAAGAAGGTGGAGAATTTTACAAAAAATATGCACATCATGTCGGATTTAGTGTGCGTTCATCATCATAAACTAAAGACAAAAACGGCGTGAAGCGTTGGAAGTACTTTGTTTGCTCAAAACAAGGTTATTTGCCAATGAAGACAAATGAGATGGAGCAGTGTGAATCTAGTATCAAAGCTAGAAGAAGGAGTCTTACTAGAGAAGGATGCAATGCAAATGTTATTTTCAAACGAGTGGAAGAAGGTAAATATGAGTTAGTTCGATTTCATGAGATTCATACACACGCTCTTGTTTCACCTATGAAGAGACCGTTTTTAAGACCGGTAAGAAATGTGAATCCAATTCACAAGAATTTATTACTTTTATATAGTAAGGCAAATATTGGAACATAAAAAACTTTTCACTTATTAAAAGAACAGTTTGGGGGTTAGCAAAATGTTGGTTGCACACAGAGAGATCTTTAAAATTATTCGAGAGATTTAAAGACGTTGATTAAAGATTCTGATGCTCATGTTTTTATTGATAACTTTAGAAGGAAGCAAGAAGTTAGTCCATCATTTTACTATGCATATGAGTTAGATGAAGAAGGTCGGCTAAAACATGTTTTTTGGGCAGATGGTATTTGTAGAAAAAAACTATTCTGTGGTTGGGGATGTGATTTCATTTGATACTACGTATCAAACAAATAAATATTCTATGATTTTTGCACATTTTACTGGAATAAACCACCATAGACAATCTATAACTCTTGGAGCAGGAATTTTAGCAAATGAGAAAATTGATTCATTCATATGGTTGTTCCAAAAGTTTTTGGAAGCAATGGGAGGAAAAATGCCAACTCTTCTAATAACTGATCAAGATCCTGCCATGAAGGTAGCTATAGAAAATATTTTTACTACCTCTAATCATAGATTTTACATGTGGCACATAATGAAAAACGTTTCTGAGAAAATAGGTGGTTCTATGAATGCTAATGAAGAGTTCAACACAAGTCTCAAGTCATGTGTTTGGGGGTCTGAGACACCAAATGAGTTTGAAGCTACATGAAAGTCTATAATGACCAAATTTGAGTTAGAAAATAATGATTGGTTGTCACATATGTTTGATATTCGAGACATGTGGATTCCAGCATACTTTAAAGATATTTTCTTGACTGAGATATTGAGAACTACATCAAGGTCAGAAAGTGAGAATTCTTTTTATAGTAATTTCTTGAATCCAAATGTTAGCTTGGTTGAATTTTGGATGAGGTTTGATTCGGCAATAGAAGCACAACGACGTGGCATAGAGAGACATGCGAGAGATGTGTATACCCGTGAGAACTTTTACATATTTCAGAATGAATTATGGCTTGCATGTGTAGACTGTGGAATTGAAAATAAGAAAGAGCAAGATGGAATAGAAATATTTCATATATATGATAATGGCAAGGTCAATAGTAAACTTAGAGAAGTGGTGTATAATTTGTCTGACCATAATGCCAACTGCTCATGCAAGATGTTTCAGGCTGAAGGAATACCTTGTAAACACATATTTTGTGTTTTAAAGGGTAAATTTCTAAATGAAATACCAAGCAAGTACATTGTGAATAGGTGGACTAAGTTTGCAAATAGAAAACCTATTTTGGATATAGCTGACAATGTCTTGGATAAGTTCTCTAATTCAGAAAAGGATAACAATCTCATTTCAGATGTGTGAGATCACTTACTTAAGTGTTTGGAAAAGGCAGGACAAGATAAGGAAAAATTGCTTCTTGTGTTAAATGGGGCTGTTAACATGGAAAAACAATTGGATGAGTTTGAAGAGAGTTCTAACCAAACTAAGATAGGTGATTTGCAAATCTTTATCGGATCCAATATACCTGAAGAAGTAAAAATCCTCCCCCTACAATTTGTAAAGACTAAAGGTAGTGGTAAAAGAATAAAAGGTGGAAAAGAAAAGTCTCTTGAACAAAAAAAAAAAGAACAAGACTTTGTAAGGTATGTGGTGAATATGCTTATCATGATAGTCGCAATTGCCCAGAAAAACCATCTTCATCGTTACAAGAAGAATATTATAGAAAGGAACAGGAATAAAGTTATCACTGAATACCGTAGAAAGAATATCACATAGTATTTTGTTTTTATTCTGATATCAATTTTGATTCTGATATAAAAACTTGTTTAAATTATAATTATTAGTTGTTTGTTTTGATACTGATATATCAGTTTTGATTGATATAAAATATGGTTTAAATTATGATTCATACTAGCATTTTGTTACGATTTTCCTATATCAGTTTTGATTTTTGATATAAATTGGTATAAAACTGGTATAAATTATAATTAATGGCATATTGTTTTTAATTTTGTTATAGTAGTTTTTTATTCTAATGAAAACAATTGACATAATTTAAGATTAATAGCTGTTTATTTTTCATCTAATATATGTTGGTAGAAATTTAATATAATTTGTATCAATTATAATTGTGTGGGAGAACATACAATAAAACATACACGTGTTCAAGGGAAGAAACAAAAGCCAGCTAGGGAAGTGCGAGAATTAATATCAATTGTGTTTTTCTAATTAATAAAAACCATCTCACGTGAGTTACTAAAACTGAAAATTAATCACTATCATTTAATTAAATCTGAATCATTGATTTGGATCCAATGGTTTAAATTAATTCTTCTCATCTCTTATATTAACTACTCCTCTCACTTGATATGACCCACACACACACACACACACATATATATATATATATATATATATATATATATATATATATATATATATATATATATATATATATATATATATATATATATATATATATATATATATATATATATATATATATATATATATATATTGCATTATAATTTTTGCAGCAAAGTTTAATTTTTTCCTTTCTTTTTTTTGAGCTATACTATTCATACACCCATTTCTTACCCCAAATATTTACACCAAACATTTATACGGTGAACATTATTTTTATTTTTTTAATAAATAAAAAATAATATTTATAATACGTGAACCATGCGTGAGCAATGCATGAACAATGCTTTTAAAATAGTGAAATAAAGTTGATTAATGAAATGTAAAAAGTTGGTTAATAAAGTGATGAAGTTGATTAATAAAGGTTCAGATGTTAAAAATAATTTTTTACAATAAATTAAAATTGGTTAATAAAATGTGAAAAATTGATTAATGAAATTATAAAGTTGGTTAATACGCGTTCAGATATTAAGAATAATTTTTAAAGTCAATGAAATTGATTAATATAATGTATAAAGTTGATGTGATAGTATGCACGACAACCTAGATTTAATTTTGTTGATGTTGATTGTATCTTCTTAAGTAACAAATTTTGTATAGCTCATTCTAATCTCACTAAGAAACATGTTCATTCCAATTCTTGATTTTCAAATTTGATCTAAAACAGGTTCTTTCAAATTCTTCCTCTTGCTAGCTCTCTCTCGCCGTTTCGATTAAGACGCTTAGTGAATCACTGCCCTGGTGGGTTACTTGTATGGTAAAACAGGTTTGTTCATTTAAATTCATGTCTTTTTCAATTTTGAAGCCATTGATATTATATACTAATCTGAATTCATGTCTTTTGCAATCTATAAATGTTTATTAATTTCTTCTCATTTTCATATACATTATTGAGAATTTAATTTGATATGTTGGTAAGCTGCTTTCACCTTATTTCTATAAGCTCTTCAGGATTGTTTATGAAAACAGTTTATAGTTTATATAAAAATAGTTTGACTTGATTTTCTCTTTTATTATAGAAATACTTTATACACAAACACTTATATAATAAGCGCTTAATTAAGTTGTTATCTGTAATAAATTGCATCTCTGTTCATGTAGCTTTAATTTCATTGTAAACTTATCTGTCATTTTCTCTTTTCGTTTGTTGCATACTGAGTTAGCTATTGCCAATCAATAGTCGATTGTCTATTGCTGTGTAATGAATGATTTAATGAAAAATACTTGGCTGAATGAAATTTTCATTTTTAATGTAAGTTGTTTCAGTCTTGTACAACTGTTTTTGAAAGCCACCTGCCAATTATAATTGAACTCTGAATCCCAAGTAGATATGTAGGTTCAGATTGTCCTGGAAGGTGTTGATAACTTCAACAACTTGATTGGGTCAGTATATTATCCTGATGGTGAATCGGAAAAAGACGTGGCACGAGAGCTTGTAGAAAATGTATGTTCTTTACTTATGTTGTGATATTGTTGTGGTTTAGTTTGTTTAACTCTATTCTTGTTGGAATATTTCCAGCAATTATTTTCTACTTCAGCTTGACTACACTGGTTATGTAAGTAAGCAACAAGCTTGTAAGCTATAGCCACTTGAATTTGAGGAGTGTTCATAATTTGGGTCTATGCTGTGATTGAAATATTGATAAGAGCTTCAGACAAAGAACATTGTCTTATATATATACTCTTCATCCTTTGGATGTTTGTTAGTTGGTATTAGTATAGGTCTATTTTTCCGTAGCTTTTGGTTGTACTTCTAAAAATATGTTGAAAGGGCCTCATTGGAAAGTCTTAGGGTCTGTTTGGTTGGGGGTAAATGGAGGGAAGGGTGTTATGGGTGAGAAGTGCCCAATTGATAAAAATGATGTGAATGAGGAATTGGATGATGACGTGGCAAATGATAAGAAAATAAGGCACAACAATAGAATAAAAAAGAAGCATCTAAGGTGGACCTAATTTGTTAGTGAGTGAGAGCATATTAGTAGTGAGTGTGAATTTGTTTGAGATCATTCTCTCTCTCTCTCTCTCTCTCTCTCTCTCTCTCTCTCTCTCTCTCTCTCTCTCTCTCTCTCTCTCTCTCTCTCTCTCTCTCTCTCTCTCTCTCTCTCTCTCTCTTATTCACCATAGTCATTTTTGTATTTGTCTCTGAATACTGCTATATAGATTAATCTGTCATTACATTGTTGCTTTCGTTGCATCCATGGTCGACAATACCAGAATGAAAGAGCTTGCAACAGAGGTACGATGTAACACCCATTTTAATTATCTAGTATTTTTCTGTGTTATTTTATTTTCGGTGTGCCTTTTTGTGGAGGTGTGGTTGAGTGCGATAGTGAGTGCCCTTAAGTATGGAGATTAGTTACTAAACTTTGCACTTTGATATTAATAATATAATTATTAGTGATAATAATTTAATAAATAATAGTAATATTATTATTAATTTTATTATCATTATTAATTTTATTATTATTATTATTATTATTAATAACTGAATAAGAATAGAAAAGGGGGTATTTTGAGTTGGAAAAGAAAAACACGGTCAAGTGGAAGAGAGATTGAAGAGAAGAATCAAAGAGGAAGAGAGGAAGCTAGGATTACCGAGTCTTCTTCAATTTGATCGAGTTATCGAGGTAAGGGGGGAGAAACGGGTCGAAATTGGTTTGTTGCATGAATTCTAGGTAAAGGGGATTTCCCTAACCCCATGGTAGGTTGATGATCATGTTTGATATGTTGTTGAAATTCTGAATTGTTGTTAGCATGATGAACCTGTTGCATGTATTGGTAGAGTGATTGTTTGGGTGATTTGGGGTTTTCGGTAGTTTACCATTTTAAGCCGAAAATGAGTAATCGGTAGAGCTGATGTTTTATCGGGTGGAATCTGGAATAGATTATGTAGCTAAGTCGTAGAATGTTGAACCAGTGCTGTGGGAACTGGTTTGAGTGAAATCGGATGATTTCGGAGAGTTTTGTCGATTCTGAACTGTTTGGGGTTCTGAGTTCGTAGGTTCGCTAGCGTTCGCTAGGCGAACAGGAAGCGAAGGTTCGCCAGGCGAAGCCCAGCGAGTGGGTAGCAAACCATTGCAGTGGCCAAACTCAGTCTTCGCTAGTGTGTTCGCCAGGCGAAGGAGGTGGCGAGAGGTTTCGTCAAGCGAATGAGGTAGCGAACACTTCCAGTAGCTACTGTCTGCCTTCACTGAGGGAGTTCGTTGGGCGAGCGAGTAGCGAACATTCGCTGATGCTCCGCCAGGCGAGTGAGCCAGCGAGCACGACAATAGTTTGTGTTTTTGTGT